GAGTGTGAGACATCGTCTTGGGGTGATATGTATCTCGGAAAATGTTATATTCGATATGCTGATGGTGGGTTCAAACCTGAAAAAGGTATGCGCTTGTTCAATCTCTGCATGGATTAAATTACTATGGTTAGTTATTGGAAGTAATTAGTAAGATTAACATGGATAATTTGCATGAATGCAGGTAGTGATAATAATAACTATAATTTTAATGATAATAATTATAACTATGATTATAATTATGATGGATCGAAAGAAAGAAAGCAATCAAAACGAGTGAAGAAAATGGCGATTACAATTGGTGCCTCGGTTGGAGGGGCTTCTGTGATCACTGCTATCGTTGCTGGTATTATCATCTACAAAAAGAGAGGTACATGCTTTAATTTTAAAACAATTATGTTAATAAACATACAATCGTTATACTTTATATTTGGAACATGTATATTGCTTGACAATAATCATTTGATCAGCTAGTTAACTGTTATTGTTTGACCATCTTTTCATTTTTTTAAATCTTTTATTTTATCTTGGAATTTTAACTTTTGTGCTTCTTCGCAGCAAAGAGATGCCATTAAACTGTTCGTAAAAGATTCTTGGTTCTCCAAGATGAAGCAAGCTAAAAATAGAGGGATTCTCTATAAACTCCTCATCTATTCCTTTTTCACACACCATCTTATACGGATCAAAATGTATAGTTGTACGCTTTTTTAATTGGGAGTGTTTATTATGGTTTGTACTTTGTAGGATAACTAGGTAAATATTTTTGTAAATAATGAATCGTTTCATATGCTTTTGTTGCTCAAACAATAAATGGTTTGATGTGTTCTTGAAATGAAGTATTAGATGCGTATTTCTTAACATCAGTGCTTAAGATAAAATGAAGAGGACAAAAGTTTTCACTGTTTTAGTTTGAGAATTTGTCGAAATGAGCTAATCGGTTGGCCAAGATTGTGTGGCTCAAACCAGCTAAACTGAACGATATACATCTCAACATTTACGTGAGGCATTTATTCTAAATGCCTTGCTTGAAAGGGACACGACCACCTTTGTTATTTTCGATGATCAGCGAATATTTTCGTCTTTGATGTATGAACTAAATAGCCGAGCTAGCCTTCACCACGCCCAGTTTACCCTTAAAGTAAACCTTCATAAGAGATTTGTAATCCAAGACCTTTTCTATCCTTTGTGGTTGTTGAGTCATTCATATGGTAGTTAGGAAGGACACAGAGAAAAAAAAAACAATTAAGAAGGATAGAGACAGATCAAACATCAACACTATATGGCCGTTTAATGCAGAACTGATTAAGACTTGTGACCAATCTTGAACATTATATGATTTTTTTTTCTATGATGCTTATATTTTAACTAGAAATCTATATTATACTACACTTATTTGATATATATATATATATATATATATATATATATATATATATATATATATATATATATATATATATATATATATATATATATATATATATATATATATATATATATGAATGTAGATTGTAAGCGTGTTAAACCATTAA